GGCTGAATCAGGAAGCGACTCTTGGGGACCAGAACCTCGAAGCAAGTGATCTGGGGCTGTATCTGGATGCGACTCTTGGGTACCAGAACCTCGAAGCATGTGATCTGGGGCTGAATCAGGAAGCGACTCTTGGGTACCAGAACCTCGAAGCAAGTGATCTGGGGCTGTATCTGGAAGCGACTCTGTGGGGCCAGCCACCTCCGAAATCCCAACCAATTTTGCTCCGTCCTCAAACAGCACCACCGGTGCAACCTTTTTCTCGGGCAGTGCTTTGCGTACTGACCGAGCTGCTGCATCAGTGCTGTCTAGCTGCGACCATATCTCCATCTGCTCGGTAAAGTGGTCACTCAACAGACCCGTGAACCTCAGGTGGCCGATCAAAGCATGCACTTTCCCTGCAGCAAACGATGCGGCCTTCGTCGCAGCGAGGCTCAGGTCTGTCTTTCGCTTGTCAAGTGCAGCGACTTCCTTGCTTAACCACATATCAGCCTTTTGCTTTTGCAAAAGGGCTTTTCCTTTATCCGAATCCTGGTCGGCTTTGGCCTTCACCTTGGCCACTGACATCTGTGCAGATGTCAGAACCTTCTCATAGCCTTCGGCAATGAAATGGTTGCAAACCCGCGCTTTCTCTTGTGCATCCTTGATCAACTGTGCAGTCACACGGTGCACATGCTTCAGTCGCTCGTTCGCCTCGCTTGCACCATCATCCTTCATCATTGTTTCGCCATCAAGGAAGCATAAGCCATTCAAGACAAACTCCCGGAATGAGGATGCACCTGGGCCTAGCCTCAGACTGTCGAAAAACAGAGCACGACCCAACTCATCCTTCTGAAGTTCGAGCAAGTCAGCAAGCACAAGGTTGGGAACACCAGGGGAGTCCTGGGACTCTGTCGCCCAGGGCATTGTCGACTGGGTATCCATGTGCTTGATTGGCCCCTTTCCTTGGTCAATACAATTCCAACACTGCACACATGGACATGCTAATTCGCGATCGCTAATATAAATAACATGCATGTACACATGTATCTATATACAAGACAGTCGCTATAGGGTAACATGTGAACCCAGCTGGAGAAGCAAGCCACATGCATGCACACACACACACATATATATATATACACGTATACATATATATAATAATAATATATATATATATACACGGCACGATCTAGGCATCGATATCATGATCAGTTATTATCTTTATCAAACATATCACATATACGTATATGTATACACACATGAAATATTATATATATATACATACATGTGCGACCACATGCATCAGCATGCATATGTTATGCTAGAGAGATCTAGAGAGAGAGAGAGAGAGAGAGAGAGAGAGAGAGAAACAACAGGGAGAGAGAGAGAGAGAGAGAGAGAGGGAGAGAGAGAGAAAGAGAGAGAGAACTAAAGATGTTCTAGTTTGCTTAAGTAGTTCTACTGCCTAGGGAATCAAGAATATTAATCTGCCCCAACCAAACAATCAAGCCTAAGCTGGGAACCATCGACTAAGCAGGCAGGCTTCGAGCTCGTTCCTTAGAAGTGGCCGCTGAACTTCCGACCGAGACCCCAGAGTCTTTCCTCACAGGAACCCCATGAGATCTGGTTCTCTTCATAGGAGGGCTCTTGATTGGTGTTCCAGGCACTGCTCCTGCTGGCTTCTGCATAGCAGCCTGTGGTGCTGGTCCACGTGCCCTTGCCGGAGTAGGAGTACATGCTCTAGAGCGAGTAGACGTGCCTAGCAGGGTCCCCAGGACTAATTATAGTTAGTGCGCCAAGTAGAGTCTAAACCCAAGGGTATCGTATAATAACGTGCTAGCTCTATATATATATATATATAGTCACTATAATAAGCTAAGCACCCGGGATTGAACTGCCTGTCCCCAAAGCCGCTTTGACCTCCTCATCCACACTCAGGTCTGCACCAGATAGGGATTTGGATGGAGCCTGGGCGGAGATTTGATTCTTAAGTAATAATCGAATTAGCTACCATGACGGCACTTGAATATATCATCCAAGAAACCTTTGGTGGCTTCGGAATCGTCGCAGGATAGGGCTCGCTCCGAGCAGATTTGCTTAAGCTCGGCATAGCTAGCGACTGAAAAGCTGCCAAAAGCCAGAGCACTCTGGCTTTACAACAAAACCTTGTCCTGAATGGTTTCAGCCCAACGGCAGCCAAAGCACAAGTTACGGCAAGTTACGCCAAGTTACGCTGAGTTACTGTTACAAGCCCAAAGGCCTTGCGTGGAATGGTTTTTGAGCTTGTAAAGTTATGCCAAAGTTACGCCAAGTTACGTACAGTTACGGCCTGTAGCCCTCAATATACGTAAAACCTTATGAGATAATGCTTTGGAACCTGTTGCTACGTATCCTTACAGGAATGCCTCACATAGGTTTTTCCTAGGCCAGTATACATACATGTAGTATGCAGATCAGCTCGTGCAACAACAACGGATACGTGGTCGCTGCTGCACAGCTCGACATCCTTTAAGTTTTCATTCCTGCTCGCGCACGAGGACTCTAGCGGCTCCTCAGCAGAATCTTGCCGGAACACTTGCCAATATTGGAGCCCATCATCGAAAGCTATGGATATTTAGATATAGTACCCATGTACATATACATATACTCAGATCTAGATATATGAACCCATTGCCTTAATCCCTAATTAACCACAATTTTCACTCAGGCCCAACCCGATCCTAACCGGAACCCCAACCCCCACCCGAACCTTAATCCCAACCCGGAGCCGCTAGCCGTTATATTCCCAAACCCGAACCCTACTTGGAGGCCCAGGGGACTTAGTAAGTGGGTTATCTACTTAAGTAGAGCTATATAAGAACCATAATAATGGAGTTACCCTAATTATAACCCTTATAACCGACTTGCTAAGTCCCCTGGCCTTCCAAGTAGTCTTATTCCCAACCCTGAACCCTAGCCCAAACCCTAACCCTAACCCCAACCCTAACCCTAACCCCCAACCCTAACCCTTAGCCCAACCCTGACCCTAGCACCAACCCTAACCCTAACCCAGAATCAGGTGCATCGATGGATTCCGGCTATGTATCCAGGCACTACCGGCACATTAGCTACAATTACCTAGGGGGATCAGAGCACACATGTCTAGCAGGTCGGTTGCAACAAATTTGTGGGGAGGCTTCGGGTGTGCCCTCGGTGGTCCTACTGCTGCAGCCTCACCCGGTAATCATTCATGCTCGGAACCTCGGCTGTTGCATTACTGCTAAAGTTACATCAGCACATGACCCTCGGCCTAGCCGACAACTTAGGGTTTGGGTTGGGTTTAGGGTTCGGGGTGAGGATATAGGTTAGGGTTCGGGTTCGGGCTGGGATTAGGGTTGGGAATGCAGGTAGAGGCACCACCAGCTGTCCGACTGGCAGATCCAGCAGCCGGTAGCAATGTTGCCACCTGCGAAGCTGGGCAGTTAGTTTCAAGTGCTTTTCGATTCGGGGTTTGCGGATATAAGGACTTAGCAGTTAGCATTATAGCGAGGGTATCGGTATAGCCCGAGTTGAAGCAATTCGAACCCCAGTTGTTGAAGAGGCTCTCAGGGATCTATATACGTGTACCTAATTAATAATAACATCCCCTAGAATCGAAATGGTCCAAGACTTATTAGGATCTTAGGTTTATAATTTCGGAGATGATATATATATATATATAGAATTCGAAATATTAAGAAAAATAAAGATTAAATAGAGCTAGAGGGGCCTATACCATTAAATTAAAGCCAGCTAAACAATCACAACCGTTCGGCTTAGATCCAGGCTTAACCTTACGGGCATACAACTTAGTGGAGGCTCTTCGATAGGAAATATCGATCATAGCTGTTCTCGGAGCATGTGAAAGTATTAAGGCTACAGGTTTAGGGCTGGGTCTTGCGGCTGTGGGACTACATATAGGGTGGGCTTATGGATCAGGGTTTAGAAAGAAAAAAACCCTTACCCTCTAAACATAAATATAGAAACTGAGTTTCTAGATCAGATAAAGGAGCATACATATGACTAGTAGGGTTTAGGGTCTATGGTTTAGGGTTTACCCTAAAACCTAAACCCTAAAAGATATAGGGGAGAGGGAGGGGGGGGTCTGCCCGGCTTCATCTTCGAAGCTTCAAGTCAGGTGCCAGCAGTTGCACACTTCTCCTCAACGAAGGTATCTGCTCAGCCCCTTCAAAGTCGGCTGGAGCGGATGTGTAGACTGTGAGTAGACTGCGAAGACGATGTCGACGGAGAATTGTGAAAGCGACTGTGATGGGCGACGGGTTGTCAACCGTGTCCGCCCACAGTCGTTCCAGGCTCGTTTGAGGCCCTGGCCTCCCTTCTCCCTGCCGCCTGCACCAACCCACCCTGCTCCCGCCTGCCTGCCTGCCTACCTACCTACCTACCTACCTACCTACCTTCCTACCTTTACCTACCACCTACCCACCTCGCACCCACCTATACCTGCCTACCCCTTGCAGATCTACCTATCTGCCTACCTAACTACCTACCTACCTTAACCGACCTACCTACCCACCTTCCTACCTTTAAACCACACACCTACCACCCCACAACCCACCTACTTTCCTTCCTCTTGCCACCCTGTAACCTACACCTACCTACCTACGGACCCACCTACCTACCGACCCACCTACCTACCTCCATCTGCCTACCCACTGCCCTACCTACCTAGCAACCCAGCCACCAACCGACATACACCCTACCTACCTACCTACCTACCTACCTACCTACCTACCTACCTACCTACCTAGCTACCGACCTACCTGCGTTGTGGACCTCTCTTATAAAATTATTGCCACCTACCTATCTGTTTACCTACCTACCTATCTGTTTATTTACCTACCTACCTACCTACCTACCTACCTGCCTACCTACCTACCTACCTACCTACCCACCTACCTACCTACCTACCTACCTACCTACCTACCTATCTACCTATAAGTTACCCTGAGGCTCCAAGTAGTCCTTATTTAAAGACTTTGGGGCATTTATGGGTACCAAAAACCTTAAAAAAGATGGGTGCTTGGACCCTTATTATTAGGGTTAATGATGATAAGGCGTGGAACTCGACGTCGATGCTCCCGGATGCTTGCCGTTAGAAGCTCCTCTTCCTTCGGAGCCGGGACCCGCTGTCCTTCGGAAAGATGGCGATCCTTACCGCGTGGGTCGAAGTAGTAAGTGCCCATGATTGGAACCGGGCACATGGTGCGTGATGCACATTTGGTCAGCATCGTTGCCATGATGCAAGATTCGCGGGTCGCCAGAGGCAAATAATGCCGAGAGATGGAGATACTTAATCTCCTTTCCTTCCTACCTTTACCTATACCTAGCTACAACGACATACCCACCTGCCTACTAGCTACAACGACCTACCCACCTGCCTATTTGCTTCAAAACCTTCAAGGCTACACATGCCTGCCTTTTCTACTCACTTACCATCCCTCACCTCCCTAGCATTCCTGCTTGCCTATACCTTTAGGGTTTAGGGTTTAGGGTTGTATCCCAGATACCTATCCCAATCATATGTCATACCCGCCCTGAACCTGAAACTCGGAAAGCCGCCCAACACACTCGAAAACCCAAGACCACCTATAATTCATTTACTAGAATTATATACCGAAGGTGTGCCACTTGTTCCATTAATTATTATATTAATAATTTATATAATAATTTATACATTATATAGAAAGCAAACTTCGATGTTATTATTAGGGTTTAGGGTTTAGGGTTTAGGGTAGGCCCAAACTCCTTTCCCGGCGGAAGCTTATCGCCCCGACATCAACGACGAATCCAAGAACCCTATCATAACATGCAGCCTAATCCTAGTGACTAGGCAAATGCAACAAATCCTAAACTGAAAGGCGTACTTAGACCTTGCCCGAAATCGGACTGAAGCACTCCATAAACCCAATGCAAAGCCTTGCCT